GGGGGAGGGGGTGGGTGGGGGGGGGATATTGTTTTATTTTGTTTTGTTTTGGTTGCTCGCTTGCTTTGTTGAGTTTATAGTGAATTAGTCGTAACGGTAACATTGAATACAAAATTTTTAATTAAAATGTGATATCATTATCCGCATTATTATTGTTGTTATTGTTATTGTTATTGTTATTGTTATTGTTATTGTTATCAAATGGACAATAAAATATACCGTATAATAATACATTATTTCATTGATATAATTGGAAATACTACAAATACTATCTCAAAGAGATTGTTATTGTGCGTATCGATGAAGATCTTATAATGGTACATTATTCGTAGGGGCTGGTTTTTCGTTTTCGAAGAGAACGAACTACATCCGGAAGCTAAAGAACGAAAATGGGAATCGCAGTCCTTTCATTACGATAACGTCATGGTGGCGATGTTAACGTTATTCGCTGTACAGACAGGTGAGGGGTGGCCACAAATCCTGCAGAACTCCATGGCTGCCACTTACGAGAATAAGGGCCCCATACAAAATTTTCGCATCGAAATGTCCATATTCTACATAGTATACTTCATTGTCTTTCCATTTTTCTTCGTCAACATCTTCGTGGCCTTGATCATCATCACTTTCCAGGAGCAAGGTGAAGCCGAGCTACAGGACGGAGAAATTGATAAAAATCAGGTAATTATGGGAAAGCTCCTATTTATAAAGAATTAGAGTGAAAGTTTGTACGATAATCGCACCCCTCCTTATTTTCTTAATTTTTTTTCTTTCAGAAATCTTGTATAGACTTTACGATACAGGCTCGACCACTCGAAAGGTACATGCCGAAAGAACGAAATAGCATGAAATACAAGATCTGGAGGATAGTGATGTCAACGCCCTTCGAGTATTTCATCATGATTCTTATCGTTCTTAATACACTTTTACTTATGATGAAGGTAAGCGCACCTTGATAACGAATATTTGATTTATCATTAAAATTTCAGAATTTTAAGCTTCAAATTTCTTTCATGAATAACGCGCAAACACGTTTCAAGAATCAAATTTTTATTAACTACGACGAAGGAAAATATGGAAACGGACGATGATAGTGTTTTTTAATTTCATCCGTTTATTTAAGGTTATATTTATATATAATATTTTATTTCATTGAAAGAATTTTTTTTTTTTTTTTTTTTTTTTTTTTTTTTTTTTAATATATAGAGAAAGAAAAAAATACGCGAATTTTGTTTTAACTTCGAATTAAACGACTTCTCGAGGAGTACTTTTCAAATCAACTGATCATAAATTTGTGTTTCTTCGGAATTCAAAAAAGAGAGTTTTCTTTAAAATTCATTGATTATTGTACAATATAGTACATACAGTTAAATTAAAAGTTTGTAAAATAATTACGCACATCTGTTTAAGATAAAAATTCATTGTATATTTGCTTGTCAACGTATTTGTTTCATACATATATCTGTGGTTCCTATCTGTTTTTGGCAAAATACACGTAGTTCCTTTTTTTTTTCTTTTTGAGCCCTCGTTCCTACCGTTGCTAGTTTGACAGTTATATTTTCTCCTCACTCTTATTGAAATCATTATAAAATTATATAATTATACAATTATTATAATTTTATTGATCATGAATAAGAGGAATTGTCACATCCTGTACTCTGCGTAAATTGTTGAAGAAAAACTCATCGCTCTATAAAGCGAATAATATCACACTTTCCAAAATCATATTTCCTAACCTATTCTCGTTGTATTTCTTCTAGAACCATACCCAAAAAAAAAAACAAAAAAAAAAAAACGGATAATTCTGTCTCAATTAATATATCAAAACATACGTTTATACATTTATTTTATCAAACGTTAAAATTGCGTAAATGTTGTTTGAAGATTTATTCCTTCATTGATTTAATGCATCATATAAAGTACATTATGACACGTAATAAATTGTAATATGAAAACCTATAGTAACCTTTTATAAACGCGTAATACTACTATTTTTTCATTAAGTAAAGTAATAATTTCTCTTTCAATAATTTCTCATTACTGTTATATATATATACTTAAGTTAGCACGGTCAGTCTATTATATCCGATTTACATGACTATACGTAATTTTAAATAAAAACGCCTGTAAAATTATATTATTTCACGCTGGAACTTTTGCTTTTGCACTAGGAAACCTATTATTAATCTGAAACTATCTGATTCAATTTTATTTTATTGCAATATTACTCTCAAATGATAAAGCTACTTCTTTTTCGAACGGATGAAGGTATTTTCGAACGCGATATTTAACTTAGAATTTTTGGCACAAAGTATTAAATTTGTCTGCACACGCTTATTAAATTAATAAATAATATATCAATGCTAATAAATCCTTCTATTTACTACTTAATATCATAAGGAATATTAGTGTAATCCTTATCCCTGTCAAACATATATTATTATATGTGACAAAAAGCTCGTAACCATCCATTTATTGTGATGAATAAAAAAAACAGTATTTTTAGTTCCGCTATTTTTATTTTTTTATTTTTTTTTTATGCACCTCTGTTTACCATTTGTTATAAAATATCTCAAAATAAATTTTTCATTCTGTTGATAATGAACCACTGGCTTGAATTTTATATGCCTGAAAGAGGGTGTTGAAATCTTTACAGCACTAGCACAGCATTAAATTATTGATGAACCGCTGCACAACATTAATCTGTCATTTACATAGATTCGAATACTGGAGAGTTAATTGATCGCGTCTGTAGTTTTTTTTTGTTTTTTTTGTTTTTGTTGTTGCAATTTTCATGATAAAACTATAAAAGAATAAACAAGAGTTTTTAATAACTTAATCGTTTTCAAAAAGACACGTAATCTCTATCTATCAGTATTTTGTTCACTCTCTCTCTCTCTCTCTCTCTCTCTCTCTCTCACTCAATCACTCAATCACTCGCTCACTCACTCACTCACTCACTCACTCACTCTCTCTCTCTCTCTCTCTCTCTCTCTCTCACTCCAATTCGAATTAATGAAAAATACAGCACGACTCTCATTTACACACACAAAATGCGTGTCGCATGCTGGTTGTAACACAGGAAATGAAAAAGCACTGGAATTCACGGAATGTTACTTTATTCAATCACTTTATTGTACGGGGTAATTGTACTGCGCATAAACTCTTTCAAATAAAATACATTCCCTTTCGTCAAAATGTAATAAACATCCACTCCCATCTTTATCTTCTTTTTCTCAATTCCACATATCCATAATTTATTTTCTTTTATTGCAAAACTTTGCATAATTGCCGCGTACTTCTTTAAGTTGATTTAATTATTTGAAAATCACGAAGTATTTTTTAGTAGTTTTGGTTTATGATATATTTTTTTTTTTTTTTTTTTTTTTTTTTTTTTTTTTTGTTTTATTAATTGTAACGTAGGTCATTGGTCTTTTTGTCGTGTCAATGACAACGAAATCTGATTCACCTCTATTCATTTCATTTGATATATTTGATTTATCATACATTTTTACAATAAAATTTCCAAGATAATTGAGCATATTCGCTTTATTGGAAACTTTTATGAACGACAGTGAGATATGTTTATTATGATATCTATAGTTACATATTTTTCCTAAAAGTTTCTTCAAACTGAAATTTCATTGTCGTAATTATTCTATAAATAGCACATCATAAATTATCATAATGAAATAATAAAAATAACATACGACTTATATGTATGCGATCTCTCTAACATATGAATAGCAAAGATGTTAAACACGTTAGTCGATTAGTATCGATTGTAGATCATTATAGATTGTTCCCTTGACTCTTTAGTTAAAATCCATTATCTGCCAAATATAATAACGAAAATATATTTTAACCCTTGTGATGTCCTCCGTACGTACCATAGACTGGCATCTACTAGCTTTTAAAATAAAAATTATCATTTACTGGCTCGGTTAGTTAATTAAAGTTGGTAGCGAGTAGATTAAATACCACGCTCCTTTAATTTAATCATAATAGAAGATTGAAAAGAGATGAAACATCTTGAGTAATATACAATGTTTGAGAAAAAAATATATATATGAAGTGTAAATTTAAATGAAAGAGAGTTTAAAAAGAAAGCTCGATCAGAAAAAAAAAAGAGAAATGATGTGCTTCGAGTTATGTCTAAATTTTTATATACCCGTAAGTTTTGTACTTTTGTTTGTCGGCCGTGTGTTTGTCAGTGTGTGCATTCCAGTACCACCGGCAGAGCGACCTGTACAAGAACACACTGAAGTACATGAACATGTGCTTTACGGGGATGTTCACCGTCGAGTGCATTATGAAGATCGCCGCGTTCGGCGTCAGGGTAAGAGCTCCATACCCTCAAGAACAAATGAAAGATAATCCTAAATCCTCGAATAAACGGGCTCTGGTATCACATTCATCTATTTCATTCTTATTAATGGCATCCAATTACCGTCAGTGAATCGAGTTATCGTGGCGTTTCTTTGCGCGTGATTTTCCTAAACTAACCATCGGCTATTAATTGCCCGATAATTATGCCTGTCATACTGATCAGGCTCATTAAGTGAGTCGTTGAACTGCATTGAATAACGTGAATTCGTAAGCTCGTAAGGACAGTACGAGCGTGTACTGGTAAGAATGAGAAACGACACGAATCTTATTTCTCTGACTTTGTCGAGTCTGGTAAGTTTCGCTTCCTAGATAAAATATAGAACATAATAATAGCCTTGAAGCAAGTCGTTGAACCAGGGGGATTATAACAGTAAACTAGACTTAATATATTTAATGAATGATAAAAAAAAAATTTCCATAAAAAATTATGCATAACGTATACACGCACACAATTATATGTAAAATGTAAAATTTACGAAACGACAAGTGTCGTTAGAATCTCGGTGTCCTTGTGTTACGAGCTCGCAAAAGCCTCGTACGGCTAGGTAATGAAAAATAAAAATTAATCAAAACTACAACGACACGTAGCAAACACGTCTATACGTAATGATAAATCACATTGATACATAAAGAACTGTCAAACAAAATACATTCATCCACACGTATGCATACACGACCAACATATATGAACACTCGTACACGTACGTATGAAAGACAAAAGTCTACATTTAAGCTTTCACTAAAGTATTATCGAACACGTAATTTTATTTTCATTTTTGATTATTATTTAAAATCTTTCATATCTCTATATTTAACTCAGTTTCTATCTAAATCTTTATCTCATTGTATTTGCTACAGTTAATGGCTATTTACATTTATATATATCACTTTATTTTTTCATTATTGCATTATTTTCGATATTCTTCAGATTGACACGAAGAGAAGTCCTAGGCAAAGAAAAAAAAAAGAAAAAAAAAAAAAGAAGAATTTACCTTGACGCTGACTCCCAATTCTCTGCATTAAAACATTTTGCCGATGCATGAGCATGTATCACTGCATATGTGTTGGGTTTATTTATTTATTTATTTATCTTTCTATTTATTTATTTATTCATTTTTTATACACATGCATAGCGAAATAAATAATCACGTGTACATAATTTTATCTAGTGATTCATGTAACCAATGAAAATTGTAGAATAATAGTACACGGGTAATGATTTTGTTTGTTTGTTCTTGTCCTCCCATGCTAGAAAGTCTTGTATCGTCGTCGATCATCATCAACATTTGTTCAAATATAATTTGCATTCTTTTATAGCACGGCTTTATGTGACTGTGGTACAATGTTTTAATGTCCATTTTTGTTTTTATTTTGTTTTTTTTTTTGTCTTTGTTTTTGTTTATATAGAATACTTAATTATAAATCATTCTTAACAAATCTTCATAAAATAGATAGAAACGTACTCACAATTGGGTATAAATATTTGTAAATCAACTATGTCAAATCAACTTTTCCATTCATAATGTAAACGCTGAAATTTTACTTAATTGTGAGATTTAGCCAATAATATTCTGCAACCAAAAGAAAAGACATTTTGTCTTTTTTATAGTACAAAGTGGTTCATATAATTCGCTTTTCTTGCCAAGATGATTTAATGTAAGGCAAATAGAGTAATTTGGCATCAAAAAAAGTATACGATAATTTAATGATAAAACAATAATACACACAGATCAAGCAATTATTATATAAATGCATCTAGCCTATGTACGTTTGAATTAAACATAGAATAACAAGTAAATTAGCCGAGTGTGTTACGTCTGTGTGTTGGGTGTATTTTGTAGTATCACGACGCGCCGCCAGTTCTATTGGACAGCTTGACCTACGTGAACTTGGTCGTCACCCTCCTTTTCTTCATTGAGTGCATCCTTAAACTCGTCGCCTTCGGATGTAAGGTACAAAAAAGCCTTAACTCACCACTCCACTCTCTCACAAATCAATGTCTGATAATATTAATTAATGAAATTTATTATTATAACAATAATAATATTAACAGTATTACCAATAATAACAATAACGATAATAATAATAACAATATTTATACAATGGTAATATTATCATGTTCAAAAATACACTGCAATAGTGTCACTGCAATATGCATTTATACCACCTTATAGATACTAAATACTAAAGAAAACGTAAGATTATAAAGTGATGGAAGCTATACGTAAGAGTATTCACTGTCTGGATTTAGGCAAAGGAAACGGGACTAGAAATTTTATTATGGTTATCGAAACAAATCAAGTCTTTGCATTTTTATCGAACATCAGTCGATATGTAGAGTATTAACAATGCACGAAGAATTTATGTTTAATTTATTTGTTTTTCGTAAGTTGAACAAAAAAATTCTTCTTCGCGTTTAAGTTTATATTCATGAATATTTTATTCGACTTGAGTATTAAATAAGCATAGATGTAATAGTTTTATAGATGTAATAGCTCTACGTATATACCTGTAGAGAACAATTAATTAATTACATATATATATATACACACACACACACACCAATACTTATTATTAGTCTATCATTTAAAAGTATTAGATATATTTAAAAATATTACAGATTTTTTCACGTAAAACTCTCGCGTAAAATAATGTTGAAACTATTTATAGAATGCTTGCTAAAACCGGCATGCTCCCGTAGACTTCTTTTTTAATAGAAAGAATCCTCTTTCATATATATATATATATATATATATATATATATATATATATACACACACATGCACAAACATATTTATATTTTTTTCACATACACGCGTGTGTACATATATATATATATATATATATATATATAGTCGATTATTCTATTGACGACACTGTCTCTCTCTTTCTCTATCTCGCTCTCTCTCTCTCTCTCTCTCTCTCTCTCTCTCTCTTTATATATATATATATATATATATATATATAACATTGAACAAACACATTAGTTAAAATGCACCAGCACACATTACCGCGCCATCACCGTATATATTATATATTATTCTAATCTTTTCTTCCTCATCGGAAGGACAGAACACATTGCTTTTCAGTACAAAGTTTTATACCTTTAAATACACGCATTTAAATATATAAATATAAAATTATACGTATCACCAACGCGACTCATACATCATATAAACACTCGGTGTAAAAACACTCGTACAGACACCGATAAAGTATTACACGTATTACACGTAAAATTGTGGAGAATAATTAATTGTATTACCGGATACCGAAATAAAACGAGGTACACTGATATTTGATAAAAATTATCATTAAAGATAATACAAATAAATGTAGTTATTGTCTCAATATTACAAATATCTGGATGTAGCAATTAGTACAAATCGTTTGAAAGTTTTTTTGGAAATAACTTATTATTAAATGTACGTATGTACATAATAATAAATAAATTTAAATGCGAAAATTAATTAAAGATTCTTTTTTATAATTTTAATAATCAGTAAAAGGAGATTGTGCATGTAATTATAAATATTTCAATAATTCATCATTTCGCAAGAAAACTTACGAATGAGCTCGATTAAATATTATTGTCAAATGCCTAATACACGCGTTCTTCGCCCATCCTATTTAGAACTTCTTCAAGGATCCCTGGAATACATTTGATTTTATCACGGTCATCGGTAGCATCGTGGACGCGCTAGTCATCGAATTCGGGGTACGTAAAGTCCAAGTATTCTATACACATTGTTATTTTATAATACCAACATCCAATACATAACATACTCGTTATTTCTATTGACGTTACTTTTTAAGATTTCCCGTTTAACTAATATTAATGTCGATGTTCAACAAAATTTAATTCTTATATTTTGCTGGGCGATCGTCCCAACTGCCATGCAATTTTACGAAATGAAAAGAAGGAGCTCGATAATTATATTTACTTTGTGTATTATTAATATTAAACTTTAAAATATAATAATACTACACTATCGTCTGTCCCACTAATGTATCGAATAGAAGGATTTATTGGAATTTTACGGACTAAACGACAATGATATCGAGAATAATTATGTACATTTGTTCATTGCGTAAGAAATAAAATAATAAACTCCAACACAGAATTAACAGAAACTCATTGATTCGAGCCATAAAATATATTTCCGTACTCGATATTTTTGCACTTTACACCGTGAAATAATATTTATAGACTACAATTTCTAGGTGTAAATGTTTGTTTTTCGTTTGAAATAGTATCGTGAATCGTAAAAATTTAATGAAACGAATTAATTGTATCCGAAAACTAATTAAAACCGTTAAGGTTTTAATGAGCGAGCTCTCTCGAGTCATTCGGTGCATCTGTGCAGTTTAATAAAAAATAATATTGAAAAGTTTCTTTTCTTTAACCAGGATAGCATAGCGCGTATTTTTCAAAACGAGAAAGAGAACGTACGACGGGTAAGTCGTTGGAGATATGTGCAGATAGCGACGTAGTTTGTTTCCATTTAAACGTTGATTATTAATATAAATATATACAGAAGCAAGCCGCTTTAGTGGAAGCTGCAGTTCATTGGCGCTCAGAATTGAAATCCTCCATTATTAATTGAATTAGTTTGAATCATCCTACCCAACCTCGTTATATCAATGTTATAATTGATCATATAGTTTAATGGCGACTAATAATTCCTTCAAAATGATTCTTCTCTAGCGTTCCTAGAATCTACTGCATCGATTTTGTTTCAATATGACAAATATTTCAGTTTATTAGTTTAGATTTTATTATATAATGTGTATATATATATATATATATATATACATATATATATATATATATATATATATATATATATATATATATATATATGTATGTATGTATATGCATTAACGTAGAAGTTTACCTATTAGATAAACCATTCTTTGCGACTATTTGTGTATTTATTATTTGATATTCAAGACAGAAAACAAAAAGGATTATCGAACAAATGTTTATCGCGATAAAAATAATCAATCAAGTATGTTATTAGGTAAAAAGAAAAGCAGTGTTGCCAAAAAAAAAAAAAAAAAAAACATTTAGCACCACATATAAACCACTCATTACAATTGATACTTTAATAAAAATTATTAAACTTGATTTTTAACGAAATTATTGCATTATTGCATTGTTGAGTAAATTTTTCATGGTTTGGTACATAGGAATTTCAAATTTTTACTCATATTAATATAGTGATGAGTTCATGTTCCTACACTGTCAGACTCCCAAAGATAATATTTTGGATTTTAAATTCGATTTTCGCTTTTGAAAGTGTCTTTAGCACCTGTACATTGAAGAAATTGATAAAAAAATTACGTTATTATGTAATATTTATTAAATGTATAAATGTAACATAATATTGCATATTGAAGAATACGCGTGAAAATTCAGACTCTTTCGATGTACCATAAATCATTCAACAGCCTGATTAAAATCCGTTGCGTAGTGTATATTTTATTTTTTAGTAAATGTAATCACATTACTTAAGTTGATATTATTCACATATTATTCTTACGCATTATATTTTATTGTGAATAGTGTAAATGTTCGTTACATGTACATTAATCACGAAAATTTATTATTTTGCACAGCACAATGAAGTATCGAATCAACACGTAGTGGCGCTTCATATTACACAACTTAAGTTTGATTTATATTTAAGTGCACTTTGCACATAGTTTCTGTTTTACACATTAATAAGTTAAATCCCACAATGTATAATAGAGAAATTGTTATGACGAGTATGTCCTCTTATTACTAAAATTGAATATATGACAATTGGTTCTATTTAATAAAATTTAAACAAAAGAACTTCAATTTTCAGAAGGATATGAACTACTATAAAGGTAGAAAGGTGAGACATATTTGTATACTCCGCATAATAATTGTTGATATGCGAAGTATAATTACACGGTTTCTTGTTTTCTTCTTCTTCTTCTTCTTTTTTTTTTTTTTTTTTTTTTTTTTTATGCAAACATGTGTGCGAGTGATGAAAAATGTACATAAGAGTGTTTGTATCACTGTTTTATATCTTTCAGTTGGCTTATTGGAATACTTATTTTTTTGCACTTTCGTTTGCTTATTATATCACACAAAAAGTGTAGAAATTTTTTCACTAAATAACTTAATATACGTGATATGATTTAGTTTTAATTTTTATTATTATGAAATTAAAATCATTATTTACAGATTGTACTCAACACAAAATCTTCGCAGAAACAAGATATGTCACGAATTTGGCAACACTGAAACTCAAAAGTCTGTTTGTCTTTTAGAATGTTCATTAAAAATTTAAATTACAGATTTCCATTTAAATAGTTCTTACGATGCATAGCTTTTAATAATAATATCCATTATTCCGTTTAATTCGGGCAAAAATTATTAATTTGCACACGATGATAATGGATGCGTAAATCATATTAAAATAAATTTTCTATAATTATTATAATAATAATAAGAGGAAAATTGTTCGATTGATTCTCTAATCTTAAGATTTCTGTATATAATAGAATAACCGACTGACAAATCTGACAATAATAGTTGACGCAAAAGATTTTATCGATTAAATTTTCAGGTATTATATGTATATATATATATATAAACACAGACATATACATATGGTAGCAAAAAATTTGACATAAAATTCATGTCTGAAACTATTATTTTCAGCATATAAATATATTTTTTAAACAATACTAGGATATAGTAGATGAAGCTAGAATATTAGAATTCATTCTGCCGTTCTGTTGTTATGTATAATATACTTTTTGATTTATTTTTTAAAGAAAAATTCAAATGTTAAAACTCAGTTTTTAGATTGATAAATGTCTGAGTACTAAAACTTTCAAACATAATTATATAATCTAAATTCTTTTGGTGTTTAATGATGCTTATATCGCTATCAAACCAATATCCTGTTATTTATAGCTAATTGTCCTCAATTAATCTTCGCAAAATCAGGCTTCTTGCTTTCTTAACCTTATTAAATATTCTTGCATTAATCCAAAAACAATATAGATTATCACTGTGTTTCCAGGTAGATCACTTTATATCAGTTTATTCTTCAACCTATCTTGAGACATAATGATTTCCTTCATATTTAATCGCTATTTGTGTTAATACTTGTTTAAATTACATTTTACGGGGCCGTGTGTTTGATTAGCGGATCTTGCTAGCTTTATTTTAAGTTTAAAATTTTTTATTTCAATTGCCTATTTGTATCTCTTTTATTGCTCAAGATAAATGTTGAGTCTTTTGCCTTTTATTGTGACATTATGCTGATAATTTGCTGATATTCAGCAATATAATTTATTCGCGCAATCATATTTTTCCGCTTCGACACACGGTCTTATCTTACTTTAGTATATGTATTATATAGTACCCATGTTAATTAATTAAAAGAAAGAAGAAAAAAAAAATGAAAGACGAATACGACAATTTACATTTAGTAATTTGTAAAACTAATATTAGCCACTTTCTCAAGGATCCATTGACAAGTGCATTAACGGCTATGTAATTTTCCAAAATCAACCATTGCTTATAGCGCAAATTCTATGAAATTTCGAATCATAAATTAAAAAATACTCGTTAAAAATTGTAATGCAATAGATGGTAAAACTATAAAAACTTTACATGAAATCGATGGGCATTTACAATAATTAAAATTCTAGACAACGCTAATGTATTATTGTGACAATTGCCATTAGCTTGATAATCAATTTTTTTTGTTAATCGTTTGAATGCTAATAATATCTTCTTTTTTTTCTTTTTTTTTCTTTTGTTTTTCTTTTTTTTCTTTTTTTTTTTGCTCTTCGCATAAATCAAACTTCATATTCCGGATAAGAATACAAAAGTCAGTAACTGCCGATCAAGGATTTTTCAGAAAGTGCCTTAGACAAATGGTAAAACATTCGTACAGCTAAAGACAGTAGATATTTGTGAAACGTAGAGTTCATATTTAGCGACATATTGGACGATAATAACAGTAGATACGCAGACGAAAGGGACAGAGCTTGAAAAAAGAAATCTTGATAGCTTCGACCGGGCAAGAGTTCGGCCCTTGTAAAGCGACTCGCCGATTCCGATCTCAACGAGCGGATCGTCGTGCTCAGCTTAGGCCGGCTCCTTTGCGCGCGCGAAGCCCCACCTTTCACTAAACGGTGGACCATCAATTTTTTGTCTTTAAGTGTAATTTTCTCTGCCCACTGCAGGAGAATTTCATCAACGTCGGCTTCCTCAGACTCTTTCGTGCCGCCAGGCTTATCAAGCTCCTCAGACAGGGTTATACCATACGGATCTTACTTTGGACTTTTGTCCAGTCATTCAAGGTAATCACATCGGCCATACCATCGGCTTAACAGTATGTATGCATTCGTATGAAATACCAAGTTTATCAGGGCGCGCTTTTAACGCGCCTCGAAAGGTCTAATCGATAATTATAATGCCCGGGTCTTCTATTTATAAAGCATCTTTACATTAGATAAATATTATCACCTAGCGCGCTCTTCTTTATACATTACCGAATTCTCTATTGATAATCAATCATGCACATTCTTACCAATGATCTAATTTGTTAATTTTTATTTTAGGCTCTGCCATACGTATGCTTACTTATAGCAATGCTCTTCTTCATTTATGCGATCATCGGCATGCAGGTAAGAATTGAAGCTCGATCAATTTCACGTGATTTATAAAGCAAGAGAACCATTCTCATTTTTTTTTTTTTTAAATTGCCTAAGGATTATATATTTATCGTTATTATTTATTCCATATTGAATGTCCAATTCAATTAATTCTCAATGATCTAATTGCAATTAAACCGAATCTCTTGTTTATATAGTTCGTATTAATTAAAAATACTATTCCACGAGGCTAAATTAGAAAAATATACCATTTTTCAACTATTGAAGAAATTTACGAAAAAAAAAAAAAAAAAAAAAAAAATTTTTAAAAAACGACTCTAATACTGTTCATCGCAATTATTGATAAATATACCTTGTTCTTGTGGTTTTTCCAACAGTAGTCAAGTATTTTCTTGCGTGCATAAGTTAAGAAATTATTGAAAAATTAAAACACCTTCTCTTGTATTCTTGTATAAACAATGTTAAAATATTCATCTGCTATCTATAAAAATTAACCATTATCGTTGCAAAACTTTCTCCATGTTAAAATAAGAGTATATAGGTCAAGTACTACAGAATCAACCAATCAGCATTGAAGTGGAACGTAATATTGTAATACTTGAAAAAACAAAGAAATCCTATTCCATAGCAAATAAAAAAAAAATTTTTTTTTAAAATACGGTGATTTGAGAATTTCGCGAATTTCAGTATAAGTAACAAATGAATCATGTGATAATCTTTAATCATCAGGTCTTTGGAAATCTGGCGAATGATCCAACGACGGCTATCGAATCACACAACAACTTTCAGTCCTTTTTTGGTGGTCTTATGTTACTGTTTCGGTGAGTCGAGCAGCTGAACATTGGACCATTACTAAACAAAAACAAAAAAAAAAAAAAAAAAATTTATAATCGCTAAATATAGAAAAGCTTATGATCTTTATATATTGCCCGGTTATATTTCCGTATAACATTGCTTCATAATCATAACATTTTTGTATTTCTTTGTTTATTTGTTTTTTTTTTATTTTTCTTTTATTCTACTATTAATATTACTTAGCCGATTATCGTAAAATGTTCTGAATAACAATTGATTAATAGCCAAAAATGTATTATTATTATTTATATAATTTGTCCAGCTAGTTTAGAGAGCTGTAAAGAGGCAGTAATTTTGCTCGTCAAGGGCGATTCAATCGTGCTCGATTATACTTATTATTATTTTGTAATTATATAACGTATGACGTATTAGCAATAGTTTGTGGTCGTAGATTTAGAAGTAAGCTGCTCGACGAAATTTAGGTAATACATTAAATCTTTTATTCATTATTCCCAAAACCATTACAATACCGTATTTAGTACAAACATTTTAATGTTTACCATAGCTGTAGAGACATTATTTTAATGTTATTATTTTTTTATGTAATTAAACCAAGTAAAGTAATTAGTGCTGATAGTAAATGCCGCTAGTTTGCATAAGAAAATACATTTAGTAGTAACTGGCCCAGCAAAAGAGAGAGCACGTGATGAAATATGCGAAACGAATTCTTGACGAAAGTATTGATGAAACCATTTTGATACTAATCGATGAGTAATGAAAATTAATTGAATGAAAAGCAACTTCAAAATGCATTCTCGATCATCCTAATCATCCTAATGGTACTTTTGCTCTGTTTTCGCTGCGGCCATCTGCTTACCTTCGCTCAGGTGTTCGGTAACATCGCCTTGGTGGAGAAAAACTCGATCAACAAGCACAATAATTTTCAGAGTTTCATTCAAGGTCTGATGTTACTATTTCGGTAAGTGCTGCCTCCATTAGTATTGACGTGCACGAAAGCTACGGAGAATAACGCTATCGCATAAATTATTATGCATTAACTATTTACATTTATATATCCTATATATTTACCAAAGATCGCATAGATAAATATTGATACGATAATTTTTTTAATTTTCAATTACCTTAGCTTTCAAGAACTAATTTAGTTTTCCTGTACACGTCGACACGCATAGTCTATATATTAGAAGCTGCAAGTCATGAAATTGCCAACTTTGCATGCAAGGATGTATTTATATTCAACAATATGGGCTTAATGAAGTAAATATATCAAAGAGATAAGAAATAATCCGAATGCGTTTATTTTCCTAAAGTGGAATATTTATTCGCATTAACAATATCTTATCAAATGCTCTTTAAAAAGGTCACTTTATTTATATATGTGACTAATGTCATTGAACTATAAACAATTTTCATGCATTTAATAATTACTCCTTTTTTTTTTTTTTTTTTTTTTTTTTTTTTTTTTTTTTTTTTTTTTAACAACGGACAACAATATTATTCGTAAGATTCAAATAATCGTTTGTAAGATCGAGTTTATTATATTGAAATGTAGAATTAGAATAATCAACATCAAAATTGCGATTATTTCATGACCCGCAGGACACATCACTGCACGGCTTTCTAGCTATCCCTGTTTCCTGACATGTCTAAGAGTTTTTATATTTTTTTTTTTTCTTCAAATTTCCCTAGAATTAAAATTGTGTAACTAGCTAATCCTTCTTTGGAACAGCATTGTTCTGTAGATCCTAAGCGAGAACTCCTTGCTTAAGTAATGGGGCAAAGCGAATAAAGGGAGGGAGCTTTATTTATTGGGAGGAGAGGTAGGGATGGGGGAGAAAGCGACAGTAGTGCGAGAGCATCGGTTGTCAGACATATGAGACTAACTAGAGGATCGTGTGCTTGTTTTGTTTGTTCCTCGTCTGTCTTGACTCCGGGGCAGATGCGCGACGGGTGAAGCCTGGCCCAACATTATGCTGGCCTGTATAGCCGATCAGCCATGCGATCCTCGCTCGAAGGAATCGGGCGACAAGTGTGGCTCCAACCTCGCCTACGCCTACTTCGTCAGCTTCATATTCTTCTGCTCGTTCCTCATGCTTAATCTCTTCGTCGCCGTCATCATGGACAATTTCGATTATTTGACGCGGGACTCGTCGATCCTCGGCGCCCATCATCTCGACGAGTTCGTTAGGATCTGGGCTGAGTACGATCCGAACGCCACCGGTAAGATACACTACACCGAGATGTATGATATGCTGAAGAATATGGATCCACCTCTGGGCTTCGGCAATAAGTGCCCCAACAGATTAGCTTACAAAAAGCTCATTAGAATGAATATGCCGGTGGACGTGGACGGCAAGGTCAACTTTACCACAACGCTCTTCGCCCTCATACGCGAAAATCTCAGCATTAAGATGAGAAATGGTGAGCTGTAGTAGATTAAGACTAAAGGCTGATCGGTCGTCGATATCTACCACTTGGTTAATAAAATTTCTAAGTTTCACTTTCGGGATATTCATCTTCTATGCGATGCAATGACTTTGACTTTTTTTAATGCACTTTATCGCTTATGTATGATAAAATATTCAATATTTAATACAATTATAATGATCTTTGCGCATAGATGTATTAATTAGTTTTCAATGATTTTAACGGAATGTTTTTGAATTGTAATTTTTTTTTTTATTTTTTTTTTATTTTTTATTTTTTTATTATAAGAACAAGAAATGATAATCATGTGAGATTAAATAGTAATTGCACAAGTAATTCAATCAAACTGTACTGAATTTCGTTTAAAAAATTACACACTTTCAACAAATATTTCTATCGCTGGAGTATATAATTTACTTAAAAATTTAATTTAATTTATATTGAAAATACTTCTTTCGACAGCTGAGGAAATGGACCAAGCAGATGAAGAGTTAAGAGACACAATTAGAAATATTTGGCCTTTACAGGCTAGAAAAATGTTAGATCTCTTAGTACCTCGAACGGAAGGTAATTTTTTTTTTTATTTTTTTTTTTTAACTAAATTAGAAAATTTTCAATAGAAACTAATAATGATAATATACTTTACGTTTTAGATGTTAAAAAAGGAAAGCTCACTGTGGGTAAGATTTACGCTGGTCTCCTAATACTTGAAAGTTGGAAAACTACAAGATTTAGTCAAAAGGAGGTGAGTTTTCTGTAACAAAGTAACAAAATATATTCATCTAGTTTTTAACGATTCTACAAAAAAAAAAAAAAAAAAAAAAAAAAAAAAAAAACCCCTTTTTAAAACCTCTTGTTCAATTAATTAGTGTTTATGATAATTTATTTGTCATGATAAAAGAAAAATGCTCTCTTTTTTTTTGATTTTGTAATTCTAACTTTAATATTAGTTTCTTTCAAACTTTAACGAGTCGTTACCGAAAAGAATGAAAATTGAAAAATAAAGAGAACATAATGACGAGGAAAGTTCCGTACATATCCAAATGAGTGTTTGTCGTTTGCTTCGCCGTCATAGAAGTTGACAATCAATGAATGAAAGTTCTAAATTTGTTTTATTTAGCGAATCCAATTATTAAACATCAGCCTTTAGATAATTGGTGTTCATTTTGCCACATTCTATTTATCGGGTCTCCATTTCCTTCTTTACTTTCTAAAAACTTAATTAATTTAATCAATTAAAATATAACATCACATTTCTTTGGTTGTAATGAAATTGAATGTCAAGGGTATGGAAAATAACTGATTAAATATCTTTCAAAATGGAGACTATAGGAAATCTTATTATATAAATTAATTTTCTTACCAGTAGTGTTAATATTGTTGTGAAAATGTATCTAACCTAAAAATTAATTTAAAAATCACCGTTGATTTGATGAATATCATCATTTCGCTAAGCTTTGAATTATTTATAATTGTCCCCTACAACATTATATTTATTCAATAAGCTTTATTTTGTTATATGTTGTTTAGAAAGCAATGGAGTGACGATGTATCGATTGCATTTTTAACCAATGATCAAACATTTCTGGATATGTAATTATTATGATTCGATCTAGTCGAATTCATGCAAAGTAGATAAAAATTCATATTAATTATCCCAGAACGATCAATATCCATTTTCAATATAATCATAGTCTATTGTTTATTTTATAAATGTTAGACAATTTAAGAAACATATTAACATTCAGAAATATATATATATATATATATATATATATATATATATTATTTATAAATCCACATAGTTTTCTACTAATGTAGTTGAAATTCCAAAATTTTGTGATTAATATGCGATCGGCGAAATGCAAATAGAAAACCTAAATATGTGTTTAGTGATATTTAGCAAAAATAAAATGAATGCAAAATAAAAAATAGATGAAACAGTAAAATAATTTATTGATTATTAGCTAACCCAGATATATACTATAATTTTAATGAGTAATTTTAGTAGGCACTTATTTAGAAATGATTATGAGTATTAAATTTCTTTGTTGACGTACATGAATATTAGAATAAAACTCTATTAAAAAAAAAAAATAATAAAAAATTAAAAAAAAAACAATACAATAGAGAAGCAAAACTCAGCATTGCTGGATCTTTAGAACAACAAATTTAGATCACTGTAGTACCATGCGTACGTTTTAGTTTTATTCGATCGATACTATTAACATTGTTGTTGTATATAAAGTAAGCAACTCTTTAACAACAAACTTACTGGCAGAGCTCTCAACAAACTGTTTATGATTTTTTTTGTTTGTTTTACAGAGCGATAACGATCGTATCGATAACGATAATGTCGGGCAAAGTGCTGCGGCTCAGGCGGTAGTACTTACTTTTTTTTACCTTAATTCTTTTCTAATACTATTATTATTTATTATCATTTTACCTTCATTTATAGCAGTTAAGTATTCGTCGTTCATCTTTTTTTTTTTTTTTTTTTTTTTTTAAATCACTTCATAACAAAGACTGGCCTTTCTCAATTATAACAATCGACGACTATTTAAAATTTATAAAAATTTATTATAATATTTTTTTTTTCTAATTGCATCTGTTCTAATTAAAGTATGAGAAAAACTCGTCTTTTTACTACTACACGACAATGCATTTGTATTTATTTAAAATTTATTTAGCTACTTATTTACATTTCGTATTTATATTCTAATTTTTGCATACTTTCAATTTGAATTCCTATTATGATAATTCCATTTTATTATTTAGTTAATTTGTATATTGTTTTGTAAATTTTCAAACCATTTAGTTTGGCATTAAAGACAATTTGTTATTAATTTAACGTTGAGAGCAGCACAGTTTTAGATGTATAACAATAAAAGAACAATGTATTGCAGTTTCGATAGCAACATCAATTACTGTGCTTTCTTATATAACGAAATCACTAATACACAAGCATATTTTTAATTATTTTCTGTATGAAGACACTAGCTAAAATAAATTCTATACTAGTACGCCTACTAAAATCATCGTAGCTTAGAATGTTAGAGCCTTAATGAAATATCAACAGAGTGATTGAAATTGAGATAGAAAATTTAGCTTGACAGTAGTTCAATCTCCGTATATTAAACAACAATCGAAATTGACGATTAAATTATTTATGCAATTAAAGCCTAGATTATCGTTGGTATTTCGAATGTTGTGCAATATAGTGAGATTGCAATGTTTTTAGACTTTTGCAATAAAGTAAACTTTGCTTTAATATCAATATCAATAATAATCATAATAATGATAAACAGTAATAAAAAATAAACTTATACCAAGTATCACTGATAATCAAAACACCATTTGCAAAGCACACTTATATGTACCTTACAAGTAAACCCCGTTAAAAGAAATTATGAAAAGTATTTAGCGCAAATACTCGGCCCGAAATAGTTTGCATTAGGCAAATGGCCAGGCGAATATTTGCATAACAACTCGTTGTCGTCAACGTACTAAAATAATTATGTGTAAGTAAATATTAATTTTTTTCATTATATACACACGTATATATTGCAGCATTTTAACTAACATTGCTTATTTTAGTGGTACCGTTGACGAAATCTAGTTTCTTTTTTTTTCTTTTTTTTTTTTTTTAATAATTAGCTCGCCTTTTGCCTCCCGAATAATGTATCCATATTTTTTTCCTTTTTAGGCACGACATTACATTCGAGCATTACATTTACGTATAATATTTAACTAATCATAAGATAATTTAGTTAGTCATGATTTAGACGATCTTAGATCAAAGCTAGAATATATCTTTTACTTTTTTCTATATGAATCTCTCCTACTTTTTAACTCTCTACATGTCGAACGCCTTTTAATAATCGTACTCTAATCACATTTTTATGTAAGACTGTGTAGTTATAGTCACTTATTTTATTCTAACGGACTTTGGCTCGAGGAATTCATTTTTTTAAAAAATTTTCTCCATAATTTTGAATTACTTATCAAACGATATAACATTGTTATATGACGAGCATTTAATGTAACATTTAATGTAACATTCCTCTGGCTTCTTATCGGTTTTCTATAATCTAGTGAGATTCGTCGAGAAAATTATCAAGGAAATTATTTTTCAATTTTTTTTTTCTTTCTTAAGCATCCTGTAGACTAGTTTTTAAATTTATAAATTTAGTATATTCTTGTGATAGTTAATCTCTAGCCTTCTCTTTATCTTTTGCTTACAATTGTCTTGAAGCGTGTCTTGAATCGTAATTCTGTCTTTATTTAAACGACTTAGTCTATTCCTATACTTGTTTCAAAATACTTCATCGAATGGTTCAGTCGAGCCAACGATAAAACTTAAATTTCATAGCGAAATTTAACTTTTATTATTCTCGATGGGAAATCTAATTTAATTATCAAATAAAAAAATTCAGGCATGCTTTTAATCATTAAGACGTCGGAATAATAAAAAATTACTTTATTGTCTTGTGAAGGTAGAGCAAAAATATTTATCTGGCTATAAAATTTACTCACACGTTTTAAAATTTTTATTGGCTATTAAACTCAATTAACATTAAAATACGAATATTACGTATATATTCGAAATTCTTTGACAGTTAATTTTTTCTACATTTCTTTCTTTCTTTTTATCTTCCTTCTTGTTTTCTACCTAGAAATCGATTTAATTGTAAAGATTCATTGTTCAAATTTGTTTGTTTTGCATGACTCATTATATAAATAACAATAACAATATTTGCAGTCTTAATTATTACTATATATCTCCATGTGTCGTAAACATAATTTCAAATTAATATATTTGTTCGACACTGTCACTTGTGCCATATGAGCAGCATCCAAACGTAAAAATGTATGCTACTCAACGAACATATACAGGCTTTAACAAATAAGAAATAAAACTTTCTACAGCATCATTTCGAATAACCAATAGTACGCAATAAATGTAGAATAATTAAATTAACAAAATCAGTTTTATTAAATTTAAATGACAAATATGAAATTCTTTCCAATTTATCACATGAAACGAGGTTCATGCTGTTTGATTCCATCTCAATTCAGTGCATTGCTTTCTTTTTGCATTAACAGCACCGATCTCGAGACACAATAAAATAAAACATTAACCACTATGTAACTGTGAAATTTTGCATGTAATTTTCTAATTATTTTAATACTCATAATAAATAACACTCTGCACTAATCCACGACACTTTTTTCTCGCATGGTTTTTAGCATTTTTCTAATAATGAAAATATTTCATACAGTTTTTCTGCTCTCGAATATATTTTTATTTTTATCTCTCGGTGTTATATATATATATATATATATATATACAACGATGTGCAATACACACGTTAAACATTAGAGAATTGGCATCAAGTTACAGAGAGAGTAGAAAAAACAAAAATCTAAACGATAGTAATGACGGAGAGAAAATGGAAAACAGTGCAAAAGAAGGTTCGTGACGGAGGAAAAGCCTGTATGTGCCTGCTGCGTACATACGTAATATAATGGATTCTGCCAGGGCGTTTTCTATCGATTACACACACGATTACCAATGATTACAATACAAGCAATAAAGACAGTATTACGCGTGCGTGAGCGCGCGCTAACTAGCGAGAAAGCGACAGAGAGAGAGAGAGAGAGAGAGAGAGGAAGAGATTGGAGAGTTTGACAAAGGGGTGTTGTTTCACATGCACTGACGATATAGCATCCGACGATCTTCGACACGGTACTGGATGCTGCAGGGGCTAACCATGCGAGCGGAAACAACCATCATGCCGCGGGCAGCAGGACGAATAGCCTGGAGCCGACCTATGACGGCAAAGATCATCATCACTCTCACTCGCACAGGGGCTCGAGGGTCGACGACGAAGAAGGGACGCTTGGAATTTTCGCAGTCGCCGAGCAACGACGCCAGCGTAGCTTGAGGTTAGCTAGCGCACTCGCGAGCCTCTGCCGAGGCGAAATTGCAACCGATTGAACGATTCCGTCTGTCGGCGAATGGTTTTCATTAATTAATTTGGGGAAATCTCGTTGGCCGTTGTAGCCGATTGCACGATGTAACGCTACTGAGGATTCGGCATTGATCGATTCAATCGTGCGCAATGAATTTCTCTTCGTCACTTTTAACCCTTTGTATTTGTAATCTATGTGTAGGTAATCAATTAGTTTCTAAGATTAATCTTGACAGCTGCATAGACGAACAAGACTTTATTATAGGCTGAATTATCGAGAACTTGGAGGGCAATATAACAAAATCAAGTAGCCGCTAATAATTTCAATTTTAAAAGTCTCGATTATTGTATCGTATCGTATTATATCGTGCTCAGTCAAAATCAATATTAAATATCAAAGGGTTAAGAGTACGAATGCTGTGCGAGTGAATTAAAGATTTATTTTCTTTCAATTGCAGGAACAAAAAGGTGAACTGGAACGTGTCTCAGCAGTACAATAAACTAGGGAGCGGCGGAGAGAGTAGCCAGGGAGGGGGTGGGCCGGTGATTCACGGGGTTGTTAATAAGGGCGAGGAACGCGTCGCCGAGCTAGAGCCATTGCTGACGGAATATCGTCCACGGGGCCATCACGAGTATCGTGATAATAATAATCATTATCATCATCAGCACCACCACGACCACCACCACCATCATCAACACCGATACCGAAAACAAAACTATAAGATAACCTACGATAATAATCAAAACTATGATCAGAATAAACACCAAAATTACTACCGCGATCATCATAATCATCATCATCATCATCATCATCATCATCATCATCATCATCATCATCATCATCATCATCATCATCATCATCATCATCATCATCGTCGTCGTCGTCGTCGTCGTCGTCGTCGCCGTTGTCAACACCGATCATCCTCGTACCATCGACATCAACCTCGATCCTCGATCCGTTATCGCAAGGTGTCAAGGCTCGGCTCAAATCTCAAGCCCATAATAATGATTTTTAATGCTCCGCAATGTAAAAATCTTTAAAATTTAGCTGCATCCTATTTTTATACTTTACTTTTATTTCTCTAGATTTGAAAATTTTCAAACTTTACGTTTAATATTATCGTGTTTGAATATTTCATGGCAATCGAATGAACGTTTATAAATGCACAATGTTTCATACGTTCATAACCGGTTGCAGATTGCATTAGACATTATTAGTTGCATTTCTTTCAACTACGACTGTTGTTAATGTTTTTAACCGTACCGGATGTATAGCATAAATACTTGTCAATTGTCCTTATAGAGGAATAATTAATTATTTTTATTAGATTATCATTCATATTTATCGGAGCATTGCGACCTTCTTATTCCAACTAGAAACACCAATAGACATAACAAAAATTAGTTTTCCCATCTTTTTTCTGAAGAAATTGAAAGAAACATCTTTACTGATTTAGCGACTTTTCTATCACCAGAAAACCAAATTATTTTGATAATTTTATTCTTTACATTCATTCTAGGTAACGTGATGTTACATACACTGATAAACTAGATGATACCGTATAAACAAAACAATTTAGAGAGTACCACCCTTCCCTAGCTGCTTTCAACATCCAAGATATAAATAGATTAACTTATCGATAATGTTGTGTAACCATCTGTGTACATGTAATGTTAAGAGAATATAAGTGATTATCGAGCCGATAAGAAACATTAATTGCAGATAATTCGACAAATTCGTATTCTTGCCGGTAAGTAATTAACTAGATGGCTCTACTCCGCAAACGACCATGGGAGATGTTAAACTTGCTACAATGTCATTATTAAAACAAACTAAGAGATCCAAAATTTTACACATTTTTCAATCATAACAAGAGCATGAGCATGTTTAAAATTACCAACGACTTTTTTTTTACTTAAGCATGAAAACTCTGGATTATACGTTTTTGCAAGCATACTATTTTACTCTTTTCATCACTTGGAGCAGTTTCACTTAGCAAACTTAGGCCTAACAGACCGATGACGACGCATTATTGTCCTTTTTAAACTATTTTCAAGCATTTATCTACATTTACTGTACGATCGTAGCAACGACATTCACGCAATATTTTAATATATAGTTGATTTTCATTTTAGGGCATATTTACTTTTAAATGATAATAATTATTATGGATCCTATAGTTAATTACAGTATTTTGTCCACTTGTCCTATAATGCTATCTCACATTCAATTTCCATTATTAAATAATTTCCCTAAGTAAGAAAATTTCTTTAAAATAAAACATTTGTTTGCAGTTTATAGTATTTAAACTCTAACTTTTCGTCAACATGTAAAAATGCTAATGATACGTAAAACGAAGGGATATATAAAAAGATGCCAAACATCTTTTTGGCGGACCCAACAATTGTTAACAAATATATAAAATTCTTATACATCTTTTAAAACAAATTAAATTTGAACGATGATAGCTTTTAAAAAGGACAGAAAGCCAAAACGAATCATTGATTAAGGCACTAATAGTGATAAAATGCTGAGTGGAGCTTGCATACGAAAGGTGCTCGATCGGATCATTCCGGTAAATGATTTGTTCAGAGTATTAATTCATCGACAGAGGCAAAAGGCGTCCCGTCGATTACTTTCAGAATAGAATACGTGCATTCACACGTAAACACAGGTAAACACACACACACACACACACACGGAGAGATAACTGTGCGGGGGTGCGCTCGAGCGCATGTGAACGATGTATACATAAATACACACGCAAGCATACACGCGACACGCACAGACATGTATTATAACAGAATCGTGTAACCGTTTTATAAACGCGTCTGCTTATTAATCTAGCAAATAACGATATATCGGGAAGAAGCCTCGGCTGCACTTCCTCAACATATCAATTTTATTGCCGCTAGCTGTTTGTTCATCAATGTTTACCAAATTCCACATTGATTTAATAAACGCCCATAATCCGAAATCATAAGTCGAGAGATAATTATACAATAGTTAACATAGATTATTGTCTGAGCTCGATTTCATCGTTTCATTTTATACCTGATAAAGCTGATAATGAAATTGGTTGACGTGTCCACGTATTTACGTGTAACTTTCCTAAATCCTCGTCTAGATGGATCTACAAGACGTCGTTATTAACGACTCGCGAGCCGGTAGTCTTGAGAGTCTCACTCATCCGGCGGAAAGGCTTCATCCTCATCACACAGCAACCCATCCAGCGAGGAATTCTAGATCTCCAAGCTTAAGGTGAGGCCTTTTTATATATTCTATGTACTATTGCGAGAAACGGACAGCTGGAGTCAGCATTCGTACAAGACATTGCAATCTTTTATATTACTTATATATCATTGTATATCACACCATAATTGTTTAGATATTATTCAAGCGTTTATAATGTATCTTCACTAATATATATATATATATATATAAATACGGGAATGGATATGGTGACGCCAAATTATATATAAACACGTACTAATATTTACATCGACATATTACATCAAATAGCATCGATATATGCACTTTTTATTTTTATTTTAGTTTGATCGTTGATAATCAGCACCACAATGCATGCTCTGAATATTTTCTCTGTCTATCTGTCTCTCTCTCTCTCTCTCTCTCTCTCTCTCTCTCTCTCTCTCTCTCTTTATTTCTTGACTTATTGAAATCCATTTTACTTCGCCGAATATAAATTAATAAACAAATAAATCTTACAAAATAATGGAATTACTGGACAAATAAATTATTTACATATGATGGTTTTATAACATATCATATACACTGAAGTTGGTTACATTACTGAATAATGCATAAATAAATAAATTATCTGAAGAATTCAATATAAATTCGATCTTTGTGCGTATCATTTTTGCAACAACAATCCGAAAATCTAAAAACTCTTTAAATTGTTCTTTAAACGAGAGGTGACATTCTGTTGCAGATCACCATCACCGCGACAACACAGGTATGATCATCGCGGCAATAATTACCATGACGGACTTGGCTTCAGTGACACGGTAAACAACGTCGTCGAGATCCAGAGGAATACTCATCAACCGCACTCACAGTATATGTATACACGAAGATTCAGAGGTACGTATCAATGGCGTGAAAATGTTGTTTATATGCGCGAGAAGAGGCCAATTGGGAAATCTCGCGCTGCAAGTCTTCTTCAAGAGTTAAGAAATACTAAATTATCACATCCATTATATCTATCTCTATTTTATATTGATGTTTTAGAATGAAATTTGATGGTTTGTGGGGTTAATTTTGACCGATAACTGATCAGAGTTTAAACTTGCAGCGAGAGTCGTAAAATTATTCGAATGTTGCTGTTAATAGATTATACGCAACCAATGAAACAAGCTCAATGTATCAATTGATATAATAAGTTTTCTTCGTTCTGTTCTGTTATGCGCTATGCAGACTATTACGACCACTGCGACTATTACGATAATGGTAAATGTTCTTAACCAAAGCATTTTCATAATTCTATCGTGCAAAGTGACTTTATGCGATATGTTTCTGTTCTGTTTATAGTTTTAGTTTACACACTATATACCATTAAATCACGTTTGAACAACATCGATACACAACACAAAAGTCATGCGTTAAGTCAATACAAATTACATTCTCATTGTAATTTCAAATATGCATCAATTTTAATAAAGTTTAAAATTTTCCATTACTTATGCATCTTACATACTCACTTTATTGATATATTATCACTTTTTACTTAGTATCCTTGAAAATATTCAATATTATACAACTAATTCGAATGAAAATATTTATCATTAATATGCAAAATGTGAATAAAAAAATCTATTTTAATAAATACTATTATGCTTTTTTGAGAATTTATAATGAACATTGGATATTCGTGAATTTTTTAAAGCTAGGAAAAATTTAATTATTTGCTGCGTACGTATTTTTCGAATATTATATTTTGACATATCAGCGCAGTTCTCTAAAAAAAAAACTCGGGAAAATAATTTAGTCAATAGACTAAAAAGTATCCGAATTAAATAGATCACGCATCATAATAAAGTAAAATAATGCTTGAATATAATATAATTAGAAAGATATATGTAGATGAAATAGAATCTTTAATGTGAATGTAAAACTCCATATACTTTTATCACATTTTTACATAAAATTTTACTCAAAGTACACCACAATTAGTACTAATTAGCCATATTTTATTCTTGTAGTTATATAATATTAGTAAATATATATTTTCATAGAGTATCCTTCTAGTCTCCTCAGAATTAAATAATTATTATTTACAATTCATATTTAATTTATATTTTATTAAAAAGTTATGTTTTTATCACATCCGATATCGTTAATTTATAGTGATAAGTTGCATGTAATAATCAAATTATTAAGTAATAAGAGAGCAATTGATAAAGTTTTAAATTATAAGAAAGCAGACGAAATACAAAATTAATTCTTAAATATTAGAAGATTTTTAAGCTTTGCAAGGCAGCATAGAACGAAATATTTTATCTAAAATATTTATTTAACGAAGAATATTTAAATTTCATAAATAAATTTTCTCATAATAATCAAACGAACATCGTTTAAAGATTGGAAAATCTCTGGCTTACAAATTACTTTTAATTTAATTAAAAAGTATTCGAACATTAGAGATCAATAACATGATGCATGTGAACCAAATGATACAAAATTGATGAAGAAAGTTAAATATAATATATATAATAATTATTTATATTATAGAAAATTTTTGTAAGTATGTGAACATACAACTTTTCATTAAAATAAATTGCTCATTATCGAAGAATTGAATGAAATAATGATTAAAATTTATTAAATTTTGTATGCATATGATATTATAAACATCAAGTAATTTTTTGTTTTAGAATTAAATAAGTTCGGAAGTAATTAGATATTTGATTGAAACATAATAGTTTTGATTAGTTATATCCTCATATCTGACATCTATATATACATTGGATTATTTTTTAATAGTAGTGTATGGTACTGATATTATATATATATATATATATATATATATATATATATATACACAGAATGTTTGCGAGTGCGATTTTTCGATTTACTAAAATATAATTAACAGCACAAATAATGTAAATCTGTAATATAATCATAAAATACAAGGCTTCGATCAATTTCATATAGAAGAGAAAAATATTCTACGATTCGTTGTATATAAAGTAGAGATTTTAATATTAAAAGTAATATAACTATTTAAATAAGGAAATATATCTTTGTAATTCGGCAAAACAAAAATTATAGGCTTAATCAAAGTGGCAATTAATAAAGTCATGCCCTTGATGAAATGATCTTTATACATTTGACGCGAGCCTAATTCAAAGTTTCCATTGGCCAAGAAAAAAGAAAGAGCTACTTAACGAGCTTAAAGTCGTATGAATAACTGATATAATAGAGTATTGATTAAGAGGGTCCATTAAAGATTGTAAGTCCTTGATTAAGGAAGGTGAAAAATTGAGTCAGTAGCTCGGGAATTGGCCGGGACTTCAGCTTATTGCGTAGTTAATACATAGAACACGGGGATAAAAATCGAAAGGTCGCACTTGTTGGACTCGGTGCTTTGGCCGTGCACGAGGTAACGAATAAAGAAGAAACTCGCTCTGACTGATGGCCCGGTTGTTTGTTGGGGCGGGGCATGGTCGTAGGTCCCTGGAGCGCCTCGACGTCGCCGGCCCGCTCCCCGAGTCCCGTCCACCGGCTGAACCACGCGGAGCACCACAACCACCACCACCAGCACCACCAGCACCACCACCACCGTTACGGCACGACCTCCCTGGAGCAGCGCTCGCGCTCGCCCTCGCCGATGACCCTCTGCCGGGGAATGGGCGGGAGCGGCCTCGGTCCCGGGGGCCACCACCATTACCAGCAGCAGCTCTACCAGCACAGCTACCCGGTGCTGGTGACGCGCCGCACGGGCCACGGGAGGCGGCTCCCGCCCACGCCCAACAAGCCGTCGACCCTGCAGCTCAAGGCGCCGGTCAACATCAACTTCCCCAAGCTGAGCTCGTCGCCGACGCACGGGCCATTGGCGGTGCAGGCGGCGCAAGCCGCGGGACAGGTGGTGCAGCACGGCGCCTGTGGCCAGGGCTCGCGTCTTGGGCATTCGGCCAACGGGCCCGCGTACCGAGGCCCCTTGAGGGCGGTCGCGTACGCGGGGACTGGTCCGCTCACTTTTGAGCAGGCCGTTCTGTTGGGGCGGGGGGGCAGGCTCCTGCCGAGCACCGTGCCCAACGGCTTCAAGCCCCAGCTTCGGCTCGGGATGCATCACGCCGGGGACGAGGCCGAGCACCAGGCCAACGACGACGAGTTCCCGGCGCACGCGGTAAGGGAACAAACGCGCCACCGATCATCGACCTTAGCCCCGACCTCAGCCCGAATCGACCCTCATCCTTCTTACCCTCGACGCGATCCTCCATTCGATGCAATCATCCTTGCTACGCGTTCGAAGCCTTGATTTTACAGCTCGTTTATAATAACATGACGATTATAACATCATAACGTAAGGATAATAAATGACAATTGAACATTGCAACGATTCAGGCATTATATATAAATACCCTTACCCACCTCCCACTCACTGCAATAACCTTACTTTAAGACAAACCTCTATAACACGCGCCTACGCACCAAATCACACCAAAACGGTAAGGAGGATTGAGAGAGAGAGAGAGAGAGAGAGAGAGAGAGAGAGAGAGAGTGTGTGTGTGTGTGCGTGTGTGTGTGTGTGCATCGCGTTTTTATTTCTTTCGTTGCAGAAAAATTGTAAAATTCAATCTCATGACGAGGCTAAAAATTGGCCTTACAATACTACGCCGAATAACCGATCGATCGATCGTTGAACCGATGCATCTTCCTTTTGGTTACAGATAAAACAGCGAGTGTTGTGCTCCAGGCATTCGGACAGTGATGATGATGATTGGTGCTAGCCCAGGTTGCGCCCGGAACCATACTGCCATCCGAGAGCGCCTAGCACCACCAAGTCCTTTTTCATATCCACAGCTTCATTGTAAGAACGCCGCGCGAAACATCTAAGCACACAAACACTTATACACGAGCGAGCAGACTACCGCACGCGGAGACATACAGATTTACATTCGCCTACACGATTGTTACGCCGGTGTTTAAGCGATGCGTGATTAATGGCGTTCGCGCAAGCGGCGTTCCGTTGCGAGAGGATCGAAGACGAGAGCGACTGTATAACCGATCTTTGATCCTCCGAGACGATATGTCGATAAAAGGACAGAAAAGCAAGGCCGTTCGGCGTTGCGCACGAGCATTAGCGTGTGGTTCGGATAATAAAAACCGAATTGAATAAACCTATGAATTCTTTTTTCCGTGTAACGGAGTGGCGGTAGCTAATTATCCTAGATAAATAATGTCACGGGCACGACCAGATGTATATACACATCCAGAAAAATTTTTTTATCCATGGTATAAAAAAGAAAAAAGGTAACAAAAATCGTTATTATGATATGGACATATTATTTATTATTGTAACGGTGGCGCATAAGCTCTTAACATTATGTCTTAAGACACAGACGAAATTTTTAATATTGTTACCATTTTCGCTGATCTATAAATACACGCACGTAATGAAGACGCGTTAACACGTACATTACCCTTAAATTTACATACTCGGACTCAATATCACTACTCCCTTTTTATACCAATAAAGATAATAGTGAGGAAAACACGTGTAACTCATTGCTGAAGAAAGTAAAAAATGTCGAGGATGCTTATCCGGTTAGCTTTTTAGAAGTCTAATACGACTGCAAGTTTAGCGTTGCATTTCTCACGTTCCTTCCGAACTGCCAAAATTATCAAGCGTATAAGCAGCGAGTCAAAGATTAACGTAAGCGATACTATATATGAATGGGTCTACCGCAAGAATAAATGAAAATTGAAAGACTATCATCATATAAAAGAGCATAAGGTAGTGCAACGGATCGAACATTTGAAAGATCATTTGGACTGATATATTATCAAACAAAACGAAGAAAAAAAATGAAAAGAAAATATTTAAAAAATGCAATGATCGAATGAACAAATAATAGGAAAACAATATCCATCTTGTATGAAAAAAAAAAAAAAAAAAAAAAGAAAAAAAAGAAAGAAAGAAGAAGAAGAAGATAATATAGTAAGAGATAACATTAATAAGCAACTCTATAATTAAATTTTCAAAGCTAAAAGATACGCAAAAAGTCTGAGAAAACAATTTAATAAATGAATAAATAAATCCCATCAACGAGTATGTATCCAAACATAATGGCTACTTAGTTTTAGATTAATATCGCAACTTTCTTGCAAAGTACATTAAATGATGCATTAAAACAAATAAAAAAATAAAAAATCATAATAATAATTAAGAGACGTGGATTGCAAGTATAATTGGAGGTAGGATCATGGTAAATTCTGTAACCGGTATGTGTAAAAAAACAGAATAATAAATAAAAAGATCATCATTCAAGAAAAAAAAAGTACTTTTACCACGATTCTCCATACAATTTTAAGAAATACCTATCCGATAGAAGAATACCAAATAGCAACTTTATTGTTATACTCAATATATATATATATATATATATATATATATATATTGAAAGAAATTTTATTAATGTAATATTGTAATAGTAAACACGGGTAATCAAGAATAAAATGGAGATAAAAGATTTTACTTAAAGAATACGAAATTTAAAAATAGGATTTTTTAATATAAAAGATAGAATAATTTTGTTTTAAATATTGTCTTTATAAAGGCTTATTTCTGTTTAAGAATTCATAAAATTCGAAATAATGTATTACAGTGATTTTTAAATAATTTGCGTGCAGTATTATTATATATAATATTTATAATATTGATCATTATATTAAGCATTTTTAAAAATATATTTTAATAATCAGTATAATTGTTGAATAAAATTCAAATCGTTGAAATAAAAAATAACGTCTAATTTGTTAATTATTCAAAAAGAAATTATATAATGTTTTAAAAGATAAATAAAAATATACATAACTTTTAATTTTTTTTTTTTAAGATAGATAAATTAACGGAACAAACATATATGTGGTATTTATAATTATAAAATAATAAACATGAATTTTTTCGAGGTAAAAATTATGGAAATATATGTACCAATTCCTGAATAATATCGACAATGAGAAATAAGCAAAAAAGGTGTAAATTAATTGATTCGTAAGAACTCAAAAATAATGCTCATAAATATATACATCATAACTATTTGCTTCTTTCGTAGATTAAACATACAATGTTTAATATCTATTTATATTTTTTTATTAAGAATTTATTGCTCATTATTATCAGATTTTTCCAAATAAAATATTAAATGCTATATTTGCTGTTTTTAATTGTGAAAAAATCAGATAACTAGAATATATTCTTGCGTTGACTCATAAAATAATGGTTGTGTATATTTGTATAATTTTATTCAAAAATAAGAAATGATGAAAAAATTAGCATTGCATTGTTCAAATACAATATTTTATTGTTTATTAAATGGTTCTACAAATAATAAAATTAAAACAAAAAAACAAAAACAAAAAAACAAAAAAAAACAAATAACAATGAGAAAAACTAACGAAAATCCAATTAACCAAAAAGCCTGGAAAAGATTTATGTCTTTTTAATCGTGATTGCGTCGTTTCTTCCCTTAAGTGCTTTAAACAACCTCAATCATGTATCTCGTATTAAAATATATCGTCCGCGTTACTAGAACTTAAAAGGAAACAGTTTAGAATATATTAAAAATGAAAAGAGAAGAATAAAGATAAAAAATAAATGAAAATCCTAATATCACTTTAAGGAAATAAAAAAAATATATATAAAAATCCATATAAAACTCTTGAAGAATTAAATAAAGTGTGCATCTATTAAATTAATAATATTGAAAATCTATAAAAAGTGGAGAAAAAAACGGTGAGAGTTGAAAGAAGTATATAAGACAGTAGTAGGTTTAATTGATTGTATTATCATATAATATTTTTCTGTGATAAATCTGATCATAATAAATGAATAAATAAATAAAAAATAATAATAATAAGATGGAGAAGAAAAGTAAGGATCTTGATAGGAAACCCGTGTACATGGCTTTGATCACGTAAATGTTTAAAAATAAGTATCGCTAATCCAGAAACGTGTTGATATGCTGTCAGAATTATGCGTCACCCATACGTATTACATAAATGTATTGGTGAAAAAGACTCGATGAAATAAACGTAGAACAAAAGCGAGAAATCGAATATTAATGTTAAAAAAAAAAAAAAAAACTCATTTATTATGCAAAAACTTATAATTCGCATGATATAGGGAGATTAAGCAAACTAATCGGTAAATTAGCGAAATTGTAATACAAATAAAAAGCAGAACTCGAATTTTTAATCTTTATTTTGAATTTTCTAGGCTTCAAATATATTTATATGAAAATAATATGATATGCTAATCATTTGACCAAGATTTCTCATTGCCCTCTAAGTAAACAAAAGGACTAATAAATAAAAATGAGATTGAATGAAAAATAATGTATTATTATTGGATGCACTATATGATTCATAAAATCGTCTCAATATATAAAGACAGCAGAAATAAGACTCTCGTAGGTGATTAAAATCATTATTTAAGTGCGTTTAAAGCGATCACATGTGCGATGTTTGAAGATAAGAGAAAATGTAAAAATGTTTCAAAAAATTTAAAAAAATATTATATTAGTTATGCGTAATAGTCGTAATCAGATTCTTTCTCACCAATAAAATATATTTAATAAATTATACAAGAAAATAAATAATTATTCAGTAGAATTTTAAAATGTTATTTTCCAAATTGTTAAATAAGGATAATTGAAATACCGATTTACCAAATAATTCCGTCTTTACGCAATGGACTACATTTATATATTCAATAAAATTGTGCATTCGTTTTCTGTTATAATAATAATAATAATAATAATAATAATAATAATAATAATAATAAAATATTAAGATAGATGAGCATGGCCAAACTATAAAAGATGTATAAAAAAAAATTCATAAGACGATAATAATATTAAATATTTGCGAATTTTAAATTTCAATATATATATATATATATATATATATATATATAAGAAATGTTAACAAAGATTTGTCAGAGAGAGTCTGTGAAACGAGTGGAATAATAATAATAATAATAATAATAATAATAATAATAAATTGCATTAATAACAAAATCCGCCAATTCGTTAAATTCATCATTATAAGTATTCGTTACTCGTAATCTTATAACAAAATGATTCGTACAAGGATAGAATAAAAACGCGAAAAAATTATATGTATACAAAAATTAATAAAATGTTAAAAGATTCCACGTTAATAAACAGTGTATATTATAATACGATTATAAAGATTTTTCTACTTATCTATACATATTGCGCATTAATACAATAGCATACATTACAAATACACTTACAAACACTTAACGCGCTGCTCAATTTTCCTCGACTGGACGGCTTCAGTTTCTTAAAATATCGAAAATAATAATGAAACGTTACTACTACTAATAACATTATTAAATAATATTAGCCGAATGGAATAGAGGAAAAATGTTGTCGCCTACATACATTATGCATGAATAAAAAAAAAATTACACGTCGCTCCAATGTGTGTGTTTTATCTTTATATACGTCCTTAAATCGATTGATTATATTATTTGTATTCAGGCGAAAAATATAATGTATAAAGGAATATGCGTATATATACTCAAACAAAATTTTCCATCTCTACACGAAAATGATTCTACCAAAACAAATAAATAATACTAATAATATAACAATAGTAACAATTAGCAAATGAGAAAATAAATATAATTAATTAATTATATGAGTGAAAAGTATATATATCATGTCACTAGACCTCTTAAGCCGATAAAATTGTGACGGCTCTTTTAGAGTTTCATACTTTTACAAACAATAATCGAATTCGTCGACACTTTGATATAATCTGTAAACTTAATTATAATACGAATGAGAAATTAATGTTTTTTATTAAATATTGGTGTTCTTTTCGATGATGGGCGTAAATATGGAGTCGATTGAATGAGCTGGCATAATTGTGTCTAAAAGATGAAAAGAATATAATTAGCGACAAGAGAATGCAAAAATTTCGATAAATTAAATCTCGTAGTAGTTAATATATAATAATAAAAAACAAGTGAATATGTATTAAAATCAATAGTCTTGCTTAAAATTAAAATCTTTCGCTTAGATTTTTCAAATCTATACACTTTCACACATAAAATATATTTATTCCTATGATTTAGTTCATTTCAATAAATATTCATTCATATACTTATGTTTATTATGTATCGATAACCATACAAATAATTTTTTTTTTTTAATAATTTAAATCGGAAAATAACTTAAAAATTTGAATGCGTTAGAAAGAGCAAAAAATATTGAATATAAAATACATTTTCATAAAATTAAAAATATATTTAAAAGATTTTGTTTCCAATGCAATAATATACGAGAGATTAAAATAACAATAATAAAAGAAAAATCCGTGGTATTTATTATTTTTTCTTAAGACTGAATTACAATGAATCACGGATACTAATTTTCACAATTAAAAATTATTCGTCGTAATGGTAATAAGCGAAAAAGTTATACAAGATAAATTGTTTTACATGACAACGAAATGTTGAAATTTCTTCAGACAATGATTGTACACACACACACGCGCGCGCGCGCGAAGGCACGCGCGCACACACACACACATACACACAAACACAATGTTAATTGTAAATCCATAAACTGATTTGCATAAATCATTTTATTACTGGATCATTGTAAGAATGCAAATGAACTGTAAAGAACAAACGACTGAAGTACAATTACTTCGAAGGCTCATTGTTATAAATCTTAGAGATAAAGAAATATTTATTATATAAAAGGAAATACGGAGCGTATGTTAACGAAGAAAAAGAAAAAGGTACGATGAGAAGTAACAATGGGAAGCTTTGATTTTTAATAAAATAT